ACAATATGTCTCTCCTTCTGAGATCTTAAATGTCTCAAGAGCTGGAATCTTAAATGTCAGGGCCTCGGGGTTCAACTGTTTTCTGATCTGTCCGGGTTCAATGGCTCAGCTGTGCTACCGCCACTTGACAGCTTTATTTTGGAGCCGATGAAAAGGACATGTCAGGTTGTTGTCTCGCAGCGTCATTGTTTCTGCTCTCTGTGTGCGTGGATGCAGAAGTGATGCATAAAGTAGATGACAGAAGTGAAAACCTTTACTCTTTTTTTGTTTATTTTCTTATCTGTCCATGTTTTATGTCTAGCTTAGCCTTGACTGGCTGGCTCTAGTGTCAAAGACGGGGCTAGCTCGACAAGCACAAACTTCTTTTTTGGTAACTAAGCAAAGCTGATTCAAATTCGCAGAAAATAACTGACTCATAATAAATTCATAGCAAAAAGACCCTGTTTTTAAAAGCAGAGAGGGCCTTACCTCTGATGGAGCTCGGTCCCTTTCCCATTGCGTGACATCGCAGTTTGTCCCCTCTGGCCGTGATGTCTTCCACTTTCTCAAACCTGGAGGAGACACAGATCAATGAGAGGGGGCAACCTTTAGGAACTTAGTAAAGAGCGCATGTGTATCCTACATGGAAGAGTTGTTCTCCGCTGCCTCAGTGAGACTTAATAACACATTTAGCTACACACATCAAATTGACATCTTCTGTACTAACATTAAACTATGCTCTTAAGCAAGTTTTTGAATTAGAGCCTTCAGACTGACTCTGTCTGCACCTTGCTACTCTGTTAGTTTTATAAGAGTGTCATGTATCTTATTTGTTTTGTCGTTGTGATTTTGAATGTTACGAGCTGCAGCTACAGCATCATTGGATTTACCCTCAGGGAGAAATAAAGTGCCCCCTTTATGATAAATGCTTAATGGCCTGAACTTCTACTTACATCTAACCATTTAAAGTGCTTGCACACGATATGTTTCATTCCAAATCATAGACTATATATACTGTGGACAACTTGGTTTCACCTTCCGTCGTTATACAAATATAAAACAGAATTGCTCTTAGCATTTCCGGGGTTTTCTCCACTTCCTGAAACCACCACTTGCACGGTAGCGTTGTACGCATTTCACCACTTGTACAGCAGCGTTGTACGTGTTCGAGCTACATAATCTTTGTACGCCCATAGACTGTATCAAGTGTCAATCGTAGAAAACATGAAATCCCTAAAAACTTTTAAAAGTGGAGAAAAAAAGGACTTTAGCACAAACCATTCTTACAGTAACTACATGTCACTGTCACAAACAGAAGAGAGAAAAATTTATATTCTGTGTAATTAATTTCTAAAGTTTGTCCACAGGAGGCGGGCTTTATGACCTATACTGCAGCCTGTCACTAGAGGGTGCTGTCCTCGTGTAGGCCTCATCTAGCGAGGAGGCAGACAGCGTCCATTCCATATACAGTCTAGGGATGTGCCAATATACGATTTAATCGCGATATGCAATATTAAACGGCCACAATGATGAAATCGTGAGGTACTGTAATAATCGTTCCAAAATTATAATTTAAAGACGAGTGGCAGCGTCACTCAGCGGAGGCGAGTGAAGCCGAGTACTTACCAACCTAACCCACTTGTAGTCATACCGAGGGTGTCAAAGCCTCGGTAGAGGGCTATTGTTTTCGGCTTATCTGAATAGTCTGAATGAAATCATTAAAGGCACACACTTTTGAATCCACCCAACAGTAAGGAAAACTTGGATTATTTCGCCTTGTTATGTACTTTCAACTCCCGTCATTTAACGGCAGGGGTGAATTCTACGGCATTACACCGGACCAAGAACAGTCGGAGACTGAGAATGATGAAACGCCTCAGCTGTATCCTCCTATTAAAAAGGTTTTGTCAGCAGTAGGGACGTTATACAGCTTCACAAAACAGACGGAGCAGGTAAACCTGACACCAATCTGCAGGTTATGCCGTAAGGAAGTTGCGGCACCGTTGTCTAACACTTCAAACCTACATGCCCACCTCCGTGAACACCATCCAGCATCGTTCGCTCAAATCAAGGTAAAAACAACATGACCGCTACAAGTTTAGTCTACTCTACTGCTTATTAATGACAACGTTAGTGACGTTTCTGCTAACTTTAGCTCCAAAAAGCTAATGCTCCCAACATCGCGTTAGCTGCCTCTTGCTCATATTGTTAATAACGTTAAAAGCAATGTGCTAATATTGTGAATCGTGATATTTTGGGCCACCAATATCGTGATATCAAATTTTTCATATCGGCATATGCCTAATACAATCTATGTTCCACATTCATACACTGATGGCAGAGGTTGCTATAAAACATGCCAGTCAGTTTTTAACCAATCCTTAAATTAAGTCTTTCCTTTGGGTTCTCAATAATTGCAGTTAAAAGACAATGTTGTGCACATGAATCCTCAAAAAACAACTGGTAACACTGTGATACACACATATTCCAGGCTAGTAGTTACTGGTTTAACTTTGTAATGAGGAACTCAAAGTGGCGGTGTGTAAAGCTTCAAAAGAGTGGCGAGTGTACACAAATAAAGAAACAATGGCAAGCACAGCAAATCTACATTTTTCTGAGGAAGCTTTCAGACATCCAGTAGAGTCAGGAGCACAAGTAAAGCTCCGTAGCCCTTCTCTCTTGTTGTCTTTAATTTCTATCTGACTGGAAATGTAACACATTCACACATCGGTCACACAGTGTGTGCTTATGTGTTAAGGCCCTAACAATGGTTTCTTGGAGTGACAGCACTTCTCATGAATGACTAATTTAACATAATTTAATTTAAAGTCATTCTCACAGCTTAAACGTGTAATTTATGCATATAAGTGGAGAGCGTAGGAACATGTCGACGTGTGAGGTCCACATGTACTTGGTAAGGTTGAATGCGTTTGATATTTGAATATGCAATGAATGTGTTCTGCCAAGTAAAGACAGTGAGAAAGTGAGAGTAAGGGGAATTATCAATAATCAAAGAAAATTGATCCAAGATTGCAGTAAAACAGTGAAGATGTGATTTATTAAGAAGAGAAGAATCACATAGCTCTGCCTGTGTTTTTCATGCTCCCACATTCAATAAGGCATGCAATTACACCATATTTCCAGATCGACCAGAGCGACTTTAATACAGGATGAAATGGATGATTTTTGTCCCTGTATGCTTGGATTGTCACAATTTGGAAATGAAATCCATAGACAATCCCTCCTTGTTTATTGTATGGTAATGCTGTGTAGTGAGGAAATATGAGTTACAATATAGTTATGTTTATGTTACTCAGATAGATAATTCAGTACATTTGTCTGCAGTGTGATATTTCACTGATAGTCCACAGATATTTAGAGAATTAACAGGCTCCATTAAGAGGACTTTCATGTCATATCATCTCTTAACCACTCCTCTGACACCCTGCTGCAACGTGAGCACAGCTCCTCTCTGTGCTGCAGGTCTGCACTGTTTTTTTTTTTTTTTCTTCTTTCAGATTTAATGATCTTTAGAGTCTAATAAGACTGAATGAGGCTCCCTGGTCATTTGCATAGAGCAGGGAGGTGAGATCTAATCACATGTGATCACATAAGACGTGTTTCGAGATGCATGAAAATGCAACCAGGGAACATTCATGCTCCGACCTTTCCCTTTGTGATAAGATGAGATAAGTGTCTGATGTGATAAAGAAGAAAAATAAAAAAGGAGGTGTTGTATAATCTGTCGCAAATATCTGTGATACCCTTCCCATTAAGTCACCGTAAGACTTTCACTAAAGGGGGAGGGGGAGTGCATATTTACTAAGGTGGGAAGCATGTTTGTTGACGCAGTGCTTCCCCCTCACTCTCCTCTGTGGTTATGAATGTGTGCAACTCCTGCGTGTACTCGCTTCTGCAGACAGAACCCCTCTGCATTTCTCTGCCCTCTCTCCCCCCATGTGCCCAGCCTCAGGGACCCCGGGAAGACGGAGAGGATGGAGTAAAAGACAGAAAAAAAACAGGAGGGGAGTAGAAAATCGTGCACTGTTGTCTAGGAGCTGTTTACTCTGTCTGCAGGCACAAGATGTGATGCTGTGTTTGTGCAAGCGTGAGTGCGGGTGTGTGTCTTGCTCTGTGCACACTTTTGTGTTGACTCCCCCTGCTTGTAGGGGTAGCAGGTGTGCGATCGCAAACACGAGCAAGGGACGATACTTGTCAATGAAAGAAAGGAAGAGAGGGAGAGCGATGGTGGAGGGGAGTGAATGAAAAATTCATACGGCTGCAGGTCCCAAAAGCCCTTCTGTCTTTGCCAGGAGTCCTCAGCTTGAAAATGCCGAGCAGGGGTGGTGGGAGACAAACACACTCACAAACACACACACACACACACACGAACAGGAAGCAGAGGAAAGAGCAGGACCAGAGGAGGTGTTATCTCAAAATCAGGAGTGGGCTGAAAAGAGAGTCAACAGCACAACAACAGGATACTTAAACAACAGCATACTTGGGACAACATCCCAAAAGTCCCCTGGACCTCTTTCGTGCTGCTACTTTCACCCCAAAACACAGCAATGTGGATATTTCTGGAAATAATTTGTAGGTGCAAATCGCGTCTTATCCTTGGCCTTAAAAAACCCACCCTGCAGAAATAGTTTAAAAAGTAATTTGATTCAAATTAGGCTCAATGAATTGCCAACATCTGAAAGAATTCTTTAACGCAGGCATGCTGGTTAAATCACAAGATACAGATCTTTGTCATTACAAAGACAACATCTAGATGCAGAGCGATGACACAGCTTTTAGAGAAATAAAGACAGAGAAAAGAGAACAAAAAGAAGGAGATGAAGAAGCCCTGTCTTCTTTACTCACTACTGCAGTGTTGCCATGGACACCGCAGCATCCTCAGGATGCCAGAGAAGAGAGTAAGGGGAGGAAAAGCGGTGGAATAAAAGGGGGAAACTTTTACAGCTCTACCTTCTCACTGTGGGAAAGTGGGTCACAAACACACACTGAATCACTCTTTCCCACACACACACACACACACACAGTACACACCGTTTTCCAAACCGCTCCATTATACTTGTGTCTCTATATGTGTGAGTGTGTGTGTGTGTGTGGGACAAGCAGTGGATGAGGTGGGGTCTGGAGGAAATCTGTCTTTTCTCCAAGGGCACATGACACCGAGCAGAGGAGCAAAGACAAACACGATGTGTTTGAGAGCGATTGCTTGATGACTCTGCGATGTGCATCAACAGTAAATCCAATCAGCCGTGTCAACACACTCTGCCCGAGAAGATTTGATGAATGCTATGTCACTGGATTGCTCTGTACAACCTTTTTTTTTTTTTCCAGAGAAACACAAACTTTGGTCCTTATATATTTTCTATTAACAAAAGAAACATCCTAATTTTTTGTCCTTTCTCTAACCAGCAGTAAGTCACCCTCAAATGTCTCAAATATAAATAAATAAATGAATAAAAACATTTTGTCGGAATAAATTCCGTATAAATGAGCAGATTTTCTTTCTTTCTTGGGAATGTTTAACGTGATATGTGAATAAATTGATTTCCACCGAGTCTGACCAAGACCTGATAAAGATTTTTTCATAATTTTATGCTTTTATTTCACATCTTTATTTCAAGAGACTGTGCTGCAGGTGCAATCCTCTGCCCCCTCAATCACTATAACTTATTTAGAACAAATAACCCCGATAAAATTTTGAAGCATTGGCTTGCTTTCCTTTTTCAAGCTTTTATGTTTTACTTTAGACGATGGTAGGAAAGCCAGAGCAAAAAGGTTATAGAAAAAGATGCATCTCAGTATCTGGAGAGCTCATGCTTTGATGTGCAATGTTAGATCTCTCAATCTTACCTGTTCTTCAGAGAGAAAAAAAAAATTCTCACTATATTGAGCCGGACAAAAACAAAAGAAACAGAGCGATGAGGGCCAGGACCACACGAGGTGACACAAGGGACCACAATAAACTGGCAAGAAGAGGGAAGACATAAAAAGGATACACATGGACAGTTAGGGGGTAAAACGTGAATCTACTCAGGTCAATGTGTGGTGGGAAACATGAGGACAAGTATAAAAAAAAAAAAAAGCAAAACTCAAAACTTAAGTTACTCAATAGCAATTATTTATGCTTTTTTCAGCAGTTTCATTTCTGTAAAAAATGCGCCCCAAAATTATTTGTTTCATCTCACTCTTAATTCAAATCATTTTGTTGTGTAGTGATATCACACATCAGACAAAGCACTGATCTCACTTCCTTCATCCTTTGATGAATGTACATTTTGTCATGCTGATATTAAATCAGAAAACATCAAAAACATCTTTTCAATTGTTGCTACATTGTGAAGCTTTTTCAGGCCAAAAACTATTAAAGGTTGGTTACAAATTTAATACCTGTTTTCAAGTAAATTTGGTGTGTCTATGCAGACAAAATACTCCATGTTTACATATGTAAAATTTTTGGAAGTCATTTCACATTTTGTAGCATAAAGAAGTTACTTGAAAACCTTTATTCAGTCTTTGGACTGAAATAAGTGCCTTAAGACTCTCTGAAGAGCTTCAGTTGTATATAAATTAAAGCCCCATTTATATTATTTTCATTGAAGTATAATTCAGTGTATTTAGTATTCTTAGTACTGTTGCTCTCTGGTCTGCTTGGTCTTACATCATATTTTGTTATATTAATTATATAATTTCAGGAAAGTCAATCAGTTTTAATGCCTGTTTGTAGACTGAAAAAGTGGTTATTAGCTTGTGCATTTTTTTTTTTCACAGTGTATTGTGGGAAAGAGACTCCATCAATTCTTGCTTAGAGTTTGGCCAGCACTTCAAAGTGGCGTATTCAATGTATAGAGTACTGTTCAATGAATAATGAGTGGTTCCAGACACAGCCAGAGACATGGGTGGGTACAAAAAGAAGTTACAATGAACTAAAACAACCAAACCATGAACTAAAGGTGTATTATTTCCCACACAGATAATATCTCAGAAAACTACACAAGCACATTAACACCCACCAAACTATAAAATGGACAATGAATGTTTGGAACATAAAACTGTCTGGGAAAGACCCCCAAACTACTGTATAAAACAACAGTTAACCAACAATTCAATCAAATAAACTAACAAATGCAGAAACTTTTTTGAACAAATGTAAGTTGTAGGACCATTTTCTAGACCAATATATAGAGTATTGTGTATTTCATGAATAACTACAGGTATACTCCCTGATATTCCTCTGTCCCTCCTGCTTTCATTCCACACTTCTGAGTTCATAAATGTAACACTGGAAAATAATGGTAATAGTCATGCGCCCAATCAACCGCACGCTACAGAGACTACCACAGATAACCTACATAACTACCGTGTGAATGGTACTTATAGAAATGCAGGGCAGACTTGTATGGCACTGTTAGTATGTTGGTTATTATGTTAATTACAACAAGGCTGATGAAATTACCGCATGAGCTTTTTCATAACAGAGAATGTTCTTTATGCAAATGTAGAAGGCTAAAATTGAATTGAAATTAATTGACTCCCACCAAAAGATCATGCACATGTTTCTTCAACAGAGCTTTTCTTACTTGAGTTAATTTTAAAAAGAGGATCAAAACATACAGAATGTTCTGACCTAAAGTTTCATACAGCTTGATTGAAAAGAAAAAAAAAAGGTTCTACCTGTATACAACAGTCTGGAGTTGGGTTTTATTCCACTGCAGCTGCATATCATCTGGAGAAAGTAATATATGATTTACAGTTACATTTCTCCAAATTGCCCTTGTAAAAACAGACTTTGGTTTTTAATAGGTTTCTTATATAAATCAAAGAACATTTTACTGAAGTCTAGGTTGGGAAACAAAAACCGTGCAAACTTTGATACATGTGTATCAAACACATGTTTTTGATTGTATTATTCTATTCCCAATAGAAAAAAGTTGGACTTCATATTTTTTTGTCTGCATGCTTCAGTGCTGAGGAAAAGTGTGGCTAACCATCAGGACAGATGGTTTTGCTGATGGTTGTAATGAAAAGTAGAATGAGGACAAAGTCTGTCACGTGTCCCAGCTCAGTTCATACCAGTGTGTGCAAGATGCTAAATGACAATTAGGGGCTCCCTTAACTGGTGCTACGGTGTTATGCTCAAGTCTTGCGCAGATTCAATAGGCAATATGTATCACTACTGCACTTTAGACACACATCTCCACAACCACTCAATAATACAACCCAATACAGCACAAAATCCTGTACACTTGTTTTGCATCAACAACATACTCCTGCATGTTCTCTTTCCATGCATACGACATCTCATAGTTAGAGCCTTCCTATTTCATGCTTTGGTACCACAATGAACTCCAGGAATCCATTGAGGTCCAAGCAGCAAAGACCTTCTCCAGATACACCAAAAAGTACTCAAGTACGGCGGCAAATTACCAGTACTTTGTTAAATTACAGCATTATGTATTCCTGTGTAAAGGAGCCCTGTAAACCCTCAAAACCATCTCCACACAGTGTTGGTTGTGCAACCCTTCCTGTCACTGTTGGCTTAGACGTTGGTCATCAAGTCCTGTCATCACCCAGAGTGCAGACATCCATCTGTAGAACTATTGGTTTATCCTCACGGTCAGGGTGCTCGTTCCTCTGTCAAGAGTAGAACCAGGCCCTGGAGAGCTGTTGGGGCCATTTACCAACAGTGTGAGACATATGGCACATTAACGCATAACTACTCACATGTGCACACACATACACAACTACACCGAGCCATTTACCAACATGACCCAAACACTAGAGTGATGAGAACTGACCAGGATGTCAAGGAAAAATCACATATGAGCAAAAGAAGTGTGCGTTTTCATGTGTGTGTTCTTCCCCCCAGCGGTGTCACAATGAGTGTGTGATGGGAGCAGGAAGGCACTGAACTGAGTCATAGTCCCCTGGGGGGCAAGTGTGATGACCAAAAGGACCTTTGGGAGAGCAACTGAAGCTTTACCTAAACAGCTCTGCACTCATTCCCAGAGTCATCTCCTTTACAACTCACTAACCTGGCCCCATAAATTCACAGGCGAGGTCCCCTTGGAGCCATAATGCTGACGGACCTTCCAAGTGTAAAAGTTATCATAGGCTATTAGTCCAAAGGGACGCTTGGAGGAAATGTGTGATTGTGCAATGACAGCCTGATATTCTTTGTATTCCTTGTTAACAAGATTCATTTTCCACTTTTTTGTCTGAAATTTACCATGTACTAGACAGTGCAGTACATCTACCATTGATGCTCTTAGATATAACTAAACCTGCAGATTTTTCATGTGCTTTCAGCAGCTCTACTTGCATAAAATGATAATAAAAAAAACATTTTTAAATTTTAATTTGGGATTTTTTGACATCTTTCTGCTTCTCTTTTCAATCCTGTGTAATGAAAAAGACCTGCAAATGAACAAGACCAACTGGCCCACGCTTGCATTTCAAGAAGATAGAGTGTTTATTCAAGCCAGAGTCATGAATCAGACTTTAGACTCTTCTTAGGCCCTGTATTATGGAGGGGGAAAAAAAGATGAGGCCTCTTAGTTACCCTTTGGTTTCTTCCTGCAGGCCTTAACTCTTAAAAATAAATACATAAAGTACAAACATACATGCACACATACAAACATTCACACATACATAATAGGGTTGTCACATATCAGATTTTTGCCTCATACTAAACGTCACTATAGAAAAGACTTGAAAATAAAACAATCAGTCAATTTGTGCTGAGGCAAAACAAGGGCAAAGCAACACATTTTTGGACTAAATTTATCAATAAATAAAACCAGTAGAATTAATCTATTTCTAAAAATGTTCACATTTGTGGACTTTTCACATTTCCAGTCCTGTAGCTGAAACTTCTTTGGAGAAGACATTACCACATAAACAATTTTATCTCATTCTTTTAATTCTTATCTTTTATTTTTGTCAGTTTTATAATTAAGTTGCTATTTACCTGCTTTTTATGTTAACCATACTTTTATTTTTAAGTATCAGCTACTTTCTATATGATCCTAAACTGCGTATTGGTTAGAAAATACAAATGTTCAATTAATAAGTAAACTGAAGTGACAGAAGAGCGAACG